TTGCTGCCTCCCAGCCCGCAGCTCCTGCCGCCTCCAGGTCGGCCCCTCTTGCTGCCCTCCAGCCTGCAGCTCTTGCTGCCTTCCAGCCGGCAGCTGCTGCTGCCCCCCCATCTCCATCTCCGCCTCCAAAGCCTGCTGCCCCTTTGTCTGCGGCTCCTGCTCCTTCCCAACCTGCGGGTCCCATTCAACCCCAGCCTCCAGCTCCTGCTGCCTCCCAGCCTGCAGCTCCTGCTGCCCCCCATCCTGCAGCTTTTGCTGCCTTCCAATAGGCAGCTCCCATTGCCTCCCCATCTCCATCTCCAACTCCAACGTCTGCTCCCCCTCAGCCTGCAGGTCCCGCTCCCCCCCAGTCTGCGGGTCCTGCTCCCCCCCAGTCTGCGGGTCCTGCTCCCCCCCAACCTGCGGCTCCTGCTCCCCCCCAGCCTGCGGCTCCTGCTGCCCCCGGGCTTGCGGGCCTCGCCGCGCTCCTTCCCCTTGACCCCGCGGAACTCCTGATTTGCGCCTCCGTTCCTGTCTTCGGGCTAATCGGGGACCACATGTCGTTGAGTTGTCGCATTTAGTGAGTGCCGGGCGTGCTAAAGGGGTGTTAAGTTCTCGCCGACGCTTGTCATGCGACTCCTGTAGACGCTGGCGATGTGCCTCCCAAGCTGCCATCGCCGCGTCGGAGGTGTTGCCTTGCCTGTGCTCTCCATTGCCACTTTCGACCACTTCTCTAGTGGCCACGCCTAGGTCGGTATCGAGGCGTTGCCTCTTGGTCAGATTGTCGTGGAGGCACCTAGTGACTTTGTCGCACATGCCGCGGACGAGTGGTCCCTCCTGCTGCTCCGTAGGCTCTCTCCCCCTCTTGTGCCCGGCTATTGGGCAGGTCGCCTTTGAAGTCATCGTTGTCATTCGTTCCTCCGTGCTTCCGGTGGCCCATTTCGCCTTGCCGTCACGTCCTCCTCCCTCCCGGACCCCGGCATCCCCGGGGTCCGGGCTGTCTTCCATGGTTCCGCTGTGACGTCACGTGTCTCGATGTCGGGGCGTGGATCCCGCACCTGGGCAGCCGGTCTCAATGTGGGGGCGCTGATTTGCAGCGCCGGATCTGAGGCTCGTCCTAAACGGCGATTTCGCTGGCTGGCGCGCTGCAGAGCGTCCTAAGCGGCGATTTCGCTGGCTGGCGCGCTGCAGAGCGACCTAAGCGGCGATTTCGCTGGCTGGCGCGCTGCAGAGCGACCTAAGCGGCGATTTCGCTGGCTGGCGCGCTGCAGAGCGTCCTAGGCGGCGATTTCGCTGGCTGGCGCGCTGCAGAGCGTCCTAAGCGGCGATTTCGCTGGCTGGCGCGCTGCAGAGCGACCTAAGCGGCGATTTCGCTGGCTGGCGCGCTGCAGAGCGTCCTAGGCGGCGATTTCGCTGGCTGGCGCGCTGCAGAGCGTCCTAAGCGGCGATTTCGCTGGCTGGCGCGCTGCAGAGCGACCTAAGCGGCGATTTCGCTGGCTGGCGCGCTGCAGAGCGACCTAAGCGGCGATTTCGCTGGCTGGCGCGCTGCAGAGCGTCCTAAGCGGCGATTTCGCTGGCTGGCGCGCTGCAGAGCGACCTAAGCGGCGATTTCGCTGGCTGGCGCGCTGCAGAGCGACCTAAGCGGCGATTTCGCTGGCTGGCGCGCTGCAGAGCGTCCTAGGCGGCGATTTCGCTGGCTGGCGCGCTGCAGAGCGTCCTAGGCGGCGATTTCGCTGGCTGGCGCGCTGCAGAGCGTCCTAAGCGGCGATTTCGCTGGCTGGCGCGCTGCAGAGCGACCTAAGCGGCGATTTCGCTGGCTGGCGCGCTGCAGAGCGTCCTAGGCGGCGATTTCGCTGGCTGGCGCGCTGCAGAGCGTCCTAAGCGGCGATTTCGCTGGCTGGCGCGCTGCAGAGCGACCTAAGCGGCGATTTCGCTGGCTGGCGCGCTGCAGAGCGACCTAAGCGGCGATTTCGCTGGCTGGCGCGCTGCAGAGCGTCCTAAGCGGCGATTTCGCTGGCTGGCGCGCTGCAGAGCGACCTAAGCGGCGATTTCGCTGGCTGGCGCGCTGCAGAGCGACCTAAGCGGCGATTTCGCTGGCTGGCGCGCTGCAGAGCGTCCTAGGCGGCGATTTCGCTGGCTGGCGCGCTGCAGAGCGTCCTAAGCGGCGATTTCGCTGGCTGGCGCGCTGCAGAGCGACCTAAGCGGCGATTTCGCTGGCTGGCGCGCTGCAGAGCGTCCTAGGCGGCGATTTCGCTGGCTGGCGCGCTGCAGAGCGTCCTAAGCGGCGATTTCGCTGGCTGGCGCGCTGCAGAGCGACCTAAGCGGCGATTTCGCTGGCTGGCGCGCTGCAGAGCGTCCTAGGCGGCGATTTCGCTGGCTGGCGCGCTGCAGAGCGTCCTAAGCGGCGATTTCGCTGGCTGGCGCGCTGCAGAGCGACCTAAGCGGCGATTTCGCTGGCTGGCGCGCTGCAGAGCGTCCTAGGCGGCGATTTCGCTGGCTGGCGCGCTGTGGGCCCTTACTGCTGTTACGAATAGTGAGAAATGATTGCGCACTCCTAACCGCAGCAAGCGAAGCACACAGTATTGTTAGAATCTGGCAGCAGGAATGATGAACTAACAGCATGCAGGAGTACAAGTAGTAAACCCTATTTTGAGTTGTACCCCATATGGGCTACCCCACTACAGCCTAGACAATATGCAGCATATATGTTTGACACACCCCCATAGGCAAAGTGGGGGAGAACAAGGGGTCACACGACCAGTCAAGAGACGCAAAGCAAGCTCAGGGTGGATCTCAACGTCACCACACATTCTGAGCACAAGCAAAGGGCCGCAAGGCCAGTCCACATGCAGAGATATATATAAGCAACAAGAGCAGTACAGTGATCAATACCTAGCAAGAGCAAGCATGCAGGTATAAATATAGAGCACAGTACACACAAAGGCCTACAGCAAGTGTGGAAACGTAGGCACAAGGCCTAACAAAGTACAAAAGCGCTGATGATCACCAGACGGAAGTGCCTTGGTGAATATATCAGCAGTGTTGGCCCGAGTGGCCACGTGTGCAAGACGAAGCTGACCACGCTGCTGCAACTCTCGAGCCAGAAAGTACCGCAGAGCGATGTGCTTTGTTCTGTGCTCCAGTCTGTGCTCCTCACACAAGGCAATGGCAGCCTTGTTGTCGACGTACAGCACTGGAGGAGAACGAGGCCGCTCTCCCAGGTCGGTCAGCAGGTAGGTGAGCCAGCGTAACTCCTGAGCAGCCATGGCGGTGGCGTAGATCTCAGCGAGCGAGTAGAACGCCAAGAAACAGATTCAGAACCAAGGCTAAAAGTGTAACCCTGTGACGACCGCTGCGTAGCCTGGTCGTCAACCCAAGAAGCGTCTGAGTGCCCAGTGAGGACCACCTCTCGCCGTCCTCCAAGCACGAGCCCCATGCCCGATGTACTGCACAAGTAGCGCAGTACCCTCTTCGCAGCATCCCAGTGCACCTTTCGGTGCCGACCAGGAGCCACGTAGCAAGCCAGAAGGCCAAGAGGGTACGCAAGGTCAGGACGAGTGCAAGTCATCAGGTACATGAGGCAGCCCACTAGCTCTGGGTAAGGACCACTCGGCTCTACGGACTCATCCGAAGGCAGAGCTGAGAGCGAGTGACCTATAGCCAGAGGAGTGGCCTGTGCTGAGGACCAGATGAAGCCGAAGCGCTGAAGGACCTGCTGCACCATGTGTGACTGAGTCAGTGTGATGGTGCGGCGTGCTCGGTCCCGGGTGATCTGCAAGCCAAGGTAGCTGCGCAGCTCACCCAGGTCTGTGCACGTGTGTCTCTTCTGCAGCTCGGACTTCACCAGGGCGAGGGCCTCAGTGTCAGCAGTAGCAAAGACCAAGTCGTCGACGTACACGAGGATATAGAACGGCGGCAGCGAAGTGTCGGTGCGTAGAAACAGTGAAGGGTCAGCAGTCGAAGGCGCAAACCCAAGAGCCGCAAGGGTAGTCCTCAGTGTGTCGTGCCACTCACGGGGCGCCTGGCGGAGACCGTAGACTGGCCGGCGGAGGCTCCACTGGGTACCAGGAGGGAACGTCCCAGTGAAGCCAGGTGGGCGGCGCAGCCAGATCTCCTCGTGCAGGCTGCCCTGTAGGAAAGCTGTGCTGAAGTCAAGGGAGTGAAGCTCGTAGTCACGCTGAGCGGCAACGTGCAGCAGCACCCGAAGAGTAGTCATCTTCGGGGTAGGGGAGAAGGTCTGGAAGAAGTCAACTCCCTCTCGCTGACTGAAGCCTCGAGCAACGTAACGCGCCTTGAAGACAGGCGGAGAACCTGGCGGCCGCTTCACCCTGAAAATCCACATGCCATCGACGATGTTCGCCCCGGGAGGGGGAACCTCATCGACGTAAGTGCCTGTGGACTTCCAGGATGCCATCTCTGCGTCCATGGCTACCTGCCACTGAGAGGAGTAGGGACCCGCGATCGCCTCAGCGTAAGAGCGCGGTGTGGGGATGTCTATAGCATCCGGGTCTCCCTCAGGGGCAAGCAGCATGGCCACGAGATGAGGCGCAGCGGCTGCAAGACACTCAAGGTCCTCGTGCCTGTCCTCAAGGACGTCCGTGCCAAGGGCACACTCACCCCCGACGGACGGAGGACAGACAGACTCAGACTCAGCAACAAGACTAGCAGCGTAGTCCAGACGACAGGCAGCAGCAAAGTCAACAAGCTCAGCGACCAGGGCAGACACAGCAGCAGACTCAAACGACGGGTCAGTGACAACAGTGGCGAGCAGACGCGTGACAGTAGGGTGCTCAGCACGAAACCGGTCAGACTCAGGGTCCGCGACGTCAGGCAAAGAGGACGCAGGGGGAGACGGAAGAGGAGTACGCTCCGGAGTAGGGGACCGACGCAGGGCTACAAGGCGTGTGCCGGGGACAGCCGGCTGACGCGGACGAGGAACACGACGACCGGTACGACTAGGACCAACAGGCGAGACAGGACGCGACGCAGGCTCACGACACTCAGCAAGACTACCTGGCTGCTCAGTGTAAGGAGAAGGAGCAGGCAGCGGTGAGCCAGGCTGTAACGGAAGACCAGTAGACGACGGGAGAGTAAGAACCTGACGAAGAACAGAGTCAGGCGGCGGCAGAGACGACGGAGACGGCGGAGCGAAGAACAGTCGTGTCGGCGCAGCTGCACCAGTACCGGCAGCTCCAGCAGCTCCAGCACCTCCAGCAGCTCCAGCACCTCCAGCAGCTCCAGCACCTCCAGCAGCTCCAGAAGCTCCAGCCCCAGAACCAGCACCTCCAGTCCCAGGGTCTCCAGCCTCAGTGCCTCCAGCAGCAGCACCCCCAGAACCAGCACCTCCAGTCCCAGGGTCTCCAGCCTCGGTGTCTCCAGCAGCAGCACCTCCAGACGCAGCACCCCCAGCCCCAGCAGCTCCAGTACCTCCAGTACGAGCACCTCCGGGACCAGCGACTCCAGCACCTCCAGTAGACAAAGGACCAGCACCACTCCTAGCTCCAGGGACGTCAGCAGAAGTACCTCCAGCAGCAGAGCCCCGGGCTCCAGCAGCGCGACCCTGACGACGACCGTACCAGTCGTGCAGCTGCTGCGAGGTGAGAGGCACACGTGGACGAAGGCGGCTACTCCAAGGAGACCGCGCAACAGCAGACTCTGAACCCTCAGCGCCAGCACCCTCAGCAGCTCCAGAACCTCCAGCGCCCGCACCCTCAGCAGCCCCAGAACCACCAGCTCCAGCACCTCCAGACCCCTCACACGCAGGCTCAGCACCTCCAGGCTCCACACCCTCAAGCTCCGCACCCCCAGGCTCAGCACCCCCAGAAGTAGCACCTCGAGCAGGACCACCCCTAGTAGGACCTGAGTCACCAGTGACCTCGACCGGCGCAGGGAAGGGAGGAGGGTCAACCTTAGACACACCTGAAGGAGCAGGAGCGGGAGCGGAGAGGGGGTCTACCTGGGGAGCACCTGGAGCGAGGAAGAGCGGCGGGGGAGGGAGAGGGGCAGTGCGGTAGGGGAAGAGACGGTAAAAGGGAACCGACTCATCGAACGTGACGTCCTGAGACGCAAAGACACGGCGCGAGGTGGGGTGGTAAAACTGCCAACCAGGCGCGTCAGGGACAAAGCCAAGGAAGACACAGGGAACAGCACGGGCGGAGAGCTTGTCCGCGGTGGTATCGCGGACAAAGGCACGAGCACCCCAGACCCGGAAACGCGACGCATCGCCAACCTTCCCCGTCCACAGCAGCGTGGGCGAGGTCTCCGGCAAGGAGACACGGGGCCAGAGGTTGAGCTGATGCGCGGCGTACCGGACCGCAAACGGCCACAGAAAATGGGGGGCAGCCGCATGGATCATGGAGGTACGAGCGACCTCCATGACTAAGCCAATGCGGCGCTCAGCAACCCCATTCTGCTGCGGAGAGGCCGGAAGCGTGAACGACTGGGTGATGCCGTGCTCCGCACAGAAGGCTGCCAAGAGGTCTGAGGAGAACTCACCACCTCTGTCAGAGTGCAGACGTAGGACGGGAAACTCCGTCCCGAACCGCTCGCGGAGCTGGAGACGGGCAGCGCGGATCCAAGGGATCAAAACAGCAGGGACCTCCCCCTTGCTGCGCAGGGGAAAGACCATGGTGTAACGCGTGTAGTCGTCAACAACCAGCAGGAAGTACCGCTCGTAGCCCTGTCTACGGACGCGGGCTGGGCCCCACACGTCCAGGTGGAGAGTCTGCAGGGGAGCCTCTGTGGGAGGGAACGAGGAAGAGTGAGGAGCGGCGCGCTGCCGCCCTTCGACGCAAGGAATGCAGGGCGGCGCAAGCGAGGGAGGCAGGGCAGGCAAAGACCTGGGAAGACCAGAAACCAGGAAGCGAGAGTGCATGCCACGAAGGCGCTGCACCGAGGGGTGACCAAGGCGGTGGTGCCACAGGAGGGTCTGGTGCGACAAAGCGCGACACTCGCAGGGGGCCGTCGGCTGACCTGACGCAGACGCAGACGCAGCTACCTGAGGGGACTCAGTGGTCAGGGTGTACAGACTCGAGCCAGGCGCACGGGAAAACGTGGCCAGGTGTCGGCCGGTCCGAGCACACGTGCAGTGAGTCACTCGCTGACTCGCAGGAGTGAACTGGTGCACCCCCCTATCCTGGAGGTCAGCTCCACTCACCAAGTTCGTAGAGAACGAGGGGAGGTAAAGACCTGACAGCAAGCCAGACGGGGCGGCCGGACACGGCAGAACCGTGGAGTAGTGGGCAAGGACTGGACCCCCGGCGTGAGTGTGGTACAGTCGCGAAAGAAGGAGCGGGAAGCACCTGAGTCAAGCGTGAAGGTGTACAAGGCCGCAGCAGGCGCAGAACCAGAGAGAGCAGACCCACCAGCACCTGGAGCAGGAGACGTACCGGCACCTAGAGCAGCAGCCTCACCAGCACCCAGAGGAGGAGACGCACGAGCACCTAGGGCAGCAGCCTCACCAGTACCGGGAGCAGCAGGTGCTATACCAGGGTCAGGCGGGACGCACAGGTAACAGGCACGGTCAACACTAGTAGGCAATGCATACATGGCAGTGAGAATAGCATCATAGTCAGGAGCAAAGATATCTACCCTCCGTCCAAGCAGCTCCAGCCAGTCGGGGAGCTCAGCCTCGTCGCCAAACACTGTACGCCAGTCGTCGCTCAGACGGGCGAAGCAGCGGGACTGTGTGTGACCAAGCGTCCCGCAAGGCTGACCAACCCGATCACCTGTGCGAATGACGTACTGGCAGCGAACTGTACGCGTAGACCTGCTACACTGAGCGTACCACTCGTGGAGCTGCCGGGACGTAAGTGTCTCGCGAGGATGCCGCTGCAGCTGCAGCTGGCCACTACCAGACGCTCCCAACTGACCAGCTCCAGGGGGACAGCTACGACTGCTACCGCGACAACCCCAGCTAGTATACCACTCACTAAGCTGCTGGGGCGTGAGAGACTCGCGGGAACGTCGCTGGAGCTGCATCTGGCCACCGGCCAGTAGCAGTAGCAGCAGCAGTAGCGCGGGCAGGCCGACAGGCAGGCAGGCCGGCAGGCAGACAGACAGACAGGCAGGCAGGCAGGCAGGCAGGCAGGCGGGCAGGCAGGCAGGCCGGCAGGCAGGCAAGCAGACAGGCAGGCCGGCAGGCAGGCAGGCAGGCAGGCAGACAGGCAGGCCGGCAGGCAGGCAGGTAGGCAGGCAGGCCGGCAGGCAGGCAAGCAGGCAGGCCGGCAGGCAGGCAGGCAGGCGCTCACCAAAGGCTGGAAGAGCAGGCGCTCGCCGGGCGAGCAGGGCCGGCGCTCAACGGGCGGCGGCCGAGTAGGCGCACGACAGCGGCGACGTCGGGGCCGCAACACCCGGTGCAGAGTAGGGCCGAAGCAGCTGCAGGGCGGGGCCGCTTCAGCGGCAGGTCGGGGCCGTGGCAGCTGCAGAGCGGGGCCGTATCAGCGGCAGGTCGGGGCCGAGGCAGAGGGACGCGCGCGGCTCGGCGCGGGCTGCGCTGACAGCGCGCTGGGCTGCTGCAGGCCGCGCGCGGCCGCGCTAGGCAGTAGCGGGCCGCGCGCGGCTCGGCGCGGGCTGCTGCGGGCCGCGCGCGGGCTGCTGCGGGCCGCGCGCGGGCTGCTGCGGGCCGCGCGCGGGCCTCGCGAGGCCGTAGCAGGCCGCGCGCGGCTCGACGCGGGCTGCGTGGGCTCGGCGCGGGCTGCGCGCGGCTCGGTGCGGGCTGCGCGCGGCTGCAGCGGGCTGCGCGGGCTCTGTGCGGGCTGCGCGCGGCTGCAGCGGGCTGCGCGCGGCTCGGTGCGGGCTGCGCGCGGCTGCAGCGGGCTGCGCGCGGCTCGGTGCGGGCTGCGCGCGGCTGCAGCGGGCTGCGCGCGGCTCGGTGCGGGCTGCGCGCGGCTGCAGCGGGCTGCGCGCGGCTCGGTGCGGGCTGCGCGGGCTCGGTGCGGGCAGCGCGCGGCAGCAGCGGGCTGCGCGCGGCTCGGTGCGGGCTGCGCAGGCCTGAAGGGCGTGTAGGGGCGGCGCGCGGGCCTTACGGGCCTCTAGGGGCAGCGCGCTGGCCTAGGGCAGCAGGAGGCAGCGCTAGGGCTGCTGGACGGCTCGCGTAGTGCAGCACGTCACAAGGCAAGGCAAGGCAGGCAGGTACGTGGGGTAGCGCGGTAACCGCAGCGGTAGGTGGGCCCGAAAAAAAACGGTCCTACGGACCTTAGTGCTCTGAAACCATGTTAGAATCTGGCAGCAGGAATGATGAACTAACAGCATGCAGGAGTACAAGTAGTAAACCCTAATTTGAGTTGTACCCCATATGGGCTACCCCACTACAGCCTAGACAATATGCAGCATATATGTTTGACAAGTATCGAAGCACGAACACGAAGAGTCAGAGTTCACTCGACTTAACACGCCCCTTTGAGCCGCCTACTTGAGAAATGCCCTTACTGCTGTTACGAATAGTGAGAAATGATTGCGCACTCCTAACCGCAGCAAGCGAAGCACACAGTATCGAAGCACGAACACGAAGAGTCAGAGTTCACTCGAAGCGTTGCAGACAGTTGGAATGGAGCAGCTGCAGGATCGAGGGAATTGGCGGGAACAGTTTCGTAACTGTTCGAGTCGCACGGTTGGGTTTGAATTGGAATAAGGGAATGTACCCCTTAGAGTACATGGCTAGCTAGGTCGCTTCGTATTCCCCCTGTACTACTATTTATAAGCTTGCATCCGCATGTTTTAATCATCTCAAAGCATTTTACATTCACTCTGTTTTGAGGTCAAGGGCCCACCACTACCAATCAGCTGTGTGCGAACCTTCCCGAGGTGATCCTAGGGACGATCAATTTCTGATCGTAGCATGGTATGAGAGCGACTCGGGAATCCTTCGCACTGCCACCTCCGAAACCCTCAGCAAACAAAAGGTGGCGTCCGGCACACGATCGCGTGTAAGGATGGCCGGAGGATCTGGTGGTCACACAAATCTGACAGCTGAAGCGCAATCCAACCCGGCTGCGACAAACGAGGAAATGACGACGATTGGAACCGCCGTCCTCGCACAACTGCTTCAGCGACTCACCGACTTGGAGCAAGGACTTCGAACATTGCGGACTGGCGATGCGGGAACATCTTCCCAACCCTCTCAACCGGCCTCGAATGGCCAGAACGCCGCCCCGCACACCTTCTCCCTCGACACAAATGGCTCAACACCCAAGACCTCCCGTCCCAGTGAAGAGGCAATTCTCTCTGCGCAATCAAGGTTTCTCAGCATATCAAAAATAAAGACAAGTGTGTGCTTTGACGGCAGAGACTTCTATACGTGGAGCTTCGAGCTGGAGCTACTGCTGCAAAACGCACAGATTTTTCATTACTTCGACGGGAGCTACTCGGGACCTGCTGAAGATACCGCCAACGTCAGGGCGAGATACTACAAGATGGCGTACGACGTGCTTCTGCGAAACATGACGCCGGCGGAGAAGTTGAGGATCCGATCGTACAAGGAATCCCCTGCTCCAGCCCTCGACGATTGGCGCCACCTCAACGGCGTATACCAACCGAAAGATTCGGTTTCTTCGAGCCGCCTGCTCCAGCAGCTACTGGAGACGAAAATGGCCCCAGGGGAGAAGGCCAATAGCTACATCAATCGCTGTCGGAGCCTCCGCGATCAAATCGCGAAGTTGGGAAGCAGTATTTCCGAGGAAATCTTCGTCAATATCGTGCTTCAAGGGCTCGGCCCAGAGTGGCGGCCCTGCAAGGCGCTTCTCCGACAGCAGGGGGTCATCTTGGAGGCCGCCCTTTGAGCCGCCCTTCTCGTTGAACAGAGAGACATAGACCAGCAGCGCCCAGAGCTGCGACGAGACCAGGAAAGCCTCGCCTTCTACGCCGACAACACTGAAGAGCGATGGCCGCGGCGCCTTTAGTGCAAAATTTGCTTAAATTTCGGGCACTTGGCAAATCGATGCAAATTCCGATCTCGCCCTCGCCAGACCAATCCGAGCACCTGGTCCGGCCGACAAGACGCACGAAACGACACGCGTCCAGCCCAGGGGTATCAACCTCTGTCGTGCAATATGAACTTAGCAGTTCAGCATCAGCAGCAGCAGCCGTCACCGCCTGCCCCAGCCCGCAACGTCATGGCAATCATGGCCATGACTGGCGAATCCCGTCGTCGCCGCGTACGCTCACCGTCACCTGAGCCAGCACCTCACCCAATCGGCGCGTTCTCCAACAACAACCCGTTCAGCACGCGCCACGACTTTAGCGACGACGACGATCAGGATTGGAACCTCCCAATCCCGCTGCTTGAAAGTCTCCCGCACGTACCTGATGCGCGGGCGGCGCCACTCGATTGGCTCTCGCGCGAGCAATTCATGAAGTTTGACACACCGCATATCGTCACGCCGCGTCTGACGCAGCTCGCACGTGACGATCACAAGCGCTACAACACCTGGTACCTGGACAGCTGCTGCGGCCAGCACATGGTGGGCTCCGAGCGTTTCGTCTCCAACGCCGTCGCAACCCCAACGGTGACCTACGTATCACCGTGGCCAACAATACGCGCCTGCGCGCAAGCGCGCAAGGCATCGTCGTGCTCAAGGCACGGGGAAGCCGCACGCACATCATGCTCAATGATGTGCTCATCGTCCATAATTTGCGCTTCAACCTGCTTTCCGCCGCCCAACTCATGGATTGCGGCGTCAAACTCAGCACGGACCGCGACACGCGTGACATCCTGCTGCACTACTCATCGCCGACCACACCATGCAGGCAGATCGGACGAGCACACTCTGAAAATGGAGTGTGTATCCTCGATTTCGACATCCCCGACTGCAACGGTGATTCAAACGAGCTCATCGATCTCGTTCCAACGCGCTTCGAGCATATCCACTGCAGGGA